CTCGACGCCGGCAGCGCGAGCGACCTCCTGCGCGACCTCGAGGAGCAGTTCCTCCGCGTGGACCGCCTCGGCCTCGAGTCCACGTGCAAGAAGGTGTGGGGGATCCAGGACATCCTTCTGAAGCACATCCGGGACTTGGCGAAGGTCGAGGAGAGGGAAGGAACGGGAACAATGCGATAAAGAAGGAGAGGACGGCGAGGAAGAGAACAGGAAGATAGAAGGAGGAAACGGGAATGCGATAGCGTAGAGAAGAAAGCGAGGAGACAGGAGACTTGCACATACGGAGGAGTTTGGAAAGTGGGACAATGCCGGAGAAGCACATACGGGGCAAGATCGAAGATGGAACGATGAATGGATAATGGAGGAAGGACAGAGAAGAGTAGATTACGCTGTGAGTGATGATGATGTATGAGGAGAAACGAGACGAAAGAAAGATGAGAAGGATGTGAGAGGAGAGAGAGAAAGAGAGGAGAGCAGAGATGAGTGGATAGTGAGGAAACGAGAATTATTTGAAACGTGAGTGAATCTGTTTTGTTTGAAATTCAGAGAGAGAGATAGAGAGAGAAAGAGAGAATGAGAACATGAGATCATAATCGAATATATTATTAGGCGGAAATAAAAAATAAAACATACAATAGATTACCTCTTTTATTAGAGAGAACAAGTATAAATATATATCATATATATATATGTATAAGGAATTTTATCCCAACCTGACTATAGGATGCTCATTCTCGCTAAAACCTACATATCACATACAAGCATAAATTAAACACATACTTTACACACAATTTTAAACGTTTACTATACATACCGTTACTTACAATACCTTAAACCTATTCTTTGGCATCACTGACTAAGAAAATAAGAACATTTCCATTTTTCATGTTTCTGAAGATGAGGAAACCAGTTAAAGTACTTGCGGAAATGATTAAGAATTTCTACCAAAAGTGTTTATTTTTTCTTTGTTTTTGTCTAAGAAAAAAAATTGGTTTTGAGTCCGTCGTGTTTGTTTTCGTTCTCGGGTCTAAACTTTATACTTATTTTCTTGTTTGATTTGTATATTATGTAATCATCTCTGTCCATGACTATTGGATTTTATTTTCATCATTATTTTGATTGAATGTATTGATATTTTCATGGTTCGTTATCAAAAAAAAAAAAAAAAAAATGTGGGAACGATTTTCTCCTTTCTTCACTCCCTCCCTCCTTAACTCTCTCTTTCTCTCACTTTTCTCACTCCCACATCATCTCTCTCTCTCCCTTTTCACTTCTTTATCCTTTATGTTCTTTCTCCCTCTTTCCCTTTCCACTTCTTTATCCTTTCTGTCCTTCCTCCCTCTTTGCCTTTCCACTTTATCTTTTCTGTCCTTTCTCCCTCTTTGCCTTTCCACTTCTTATCCTTTCTGTCGTTTCCCCTCTTTCCCTTTCCACTCCTTTATCCTTCTGTCCTTCCTCCTCTTTCCCTTTCTCTTACTCACCCCTCTCCATCCATCCCCTTCAGTTCTTTATCCTTTCTGTCCTTTCTCCCTTTGCCTTTCCACTTCTTTATCGTTTCTGTCCTTTCTCCCTCATTTACTTTCTCCCTACTTCACCCTCTCTCCACCCATCCCCCTCAGTTGGCCAGGCTATCTGCGTTGTGCCCGACGGTGGAGAAGATGGAGCGACGGGTGGGGCTCACCCCGAGGTTCTCCCAGTTGATCCAAGACAGGCGGGCGGTCAGGTCTGTGGTGGGGGAGAGGGGGAAGAGGTAGATATGTGCTCTATTAGTCTGGTTTTCTCTCTGTTTGTATTTCGTTTTCTTTTTCTGTCTCTGTCCTCTCTCTGTCTCGCTGTATCTCTCCTCTCTCTCTCTCTGTCCTCTCTCTGTCTCTCTGCCTTTCTCTCTGCCTCCTCTCTCTTCTCTCTGTTCTCGGTCTGTCTCCTGCCCTCTCTCTCTCTCTCTTTCTCTTCCCCCCCTCTCTCTCTCTCTCTCTCTCTCTCTCTCTCTCTCCTCTCTCTCTCTCTCTCTCTCTCTCTCTCTCTCTCTTCTCTCTCTCTCTCACTTCACTCTCTCACACACACACACACCACACACACACACACACGTCGGGAGCCTCACCTGACGTGTTCCAGACGTGGCACTGGTCTGAGGGCAGCTCTCCCCTCAGCCCTTTCTCGATGTGCGTCACGGGGTCCAGCTCTGACGTCAGCAGCTCCCTCAGCAGCGCGATGTAGGCGATGGCGAGGCGCAAAGTGTCGATCTTGCTGAGTCTCTTCTCGTAGGGGAAAGTCGGCACGTGTGTCCTCAGCTCGTCGAAAGCTGAGTTTATACTGCTGGGGAGAGGAGGGAGTGCAAAGCGTCAGCAGCAGGGGTCGATTTTAGGCGCGGATGGGGTGGATAGAAGGGGATAAGGTTGCAGGGTTGAGGCGCCACAAGGGATGGAAGGGAGGTCGATGCGGAGGGATACGGGTGTACAGAAATTAAATATATTTTCCGTTCAAAAACTAAATACAGGTATAAAGACGGTAGGGAGAATGATTAAAAGAGACAAGGGGGAAAATATAAACACACTATGAAGAGAATATAAGAAATGTGATGCCCAGAATCGAGAAACAATTATATTTATTCTCTCTAAATCAAAAACCTTCAAATCTTCAATATTATATAATCAACAATTCAATTTAATATCAAAAATAGTTCTGAAGACATATGCCCATGAATCATCGCCGCCACGCAAAAAATAAATAAATAAATAAAAAAAATAATAATAATAAATAAAAGAATTTTGGGAAAGACGCGAAAACCCTTGATGACGTCACAGAAACACTCCATCTCCTTAGGCCTTTCTCTGTTTCATCTCTTGAATAACCTTGCACATCATTCATTTGTATGTATGCATGTATATATGTATATATGCACACACACAAACACACACATACTTGACGTCAAGTTTTCCCGCGTTTTTTTTCTGGGATCCATTTTTTTTTCTCAGCGTCGGGGTGCAATTTAACGGGAATTTTCGGCAAAACTACTTGTCAGATGAAATTCATGTGATGTTGAGTATTATCAAATATTATCTCAGTATAGGGATCTTGTCAAAATAGAAATGGGACGAGCCGTTCAGATTTAAACACAGGTGGTAAGGGAGGATGATGATAAAGCGTTTCCGAAAACGGGGAATAACATGGGGTATAATAACGCTAAAACTGGTAAATTGCTTCATAATCTAAAACTGATAATTAATTAGACACACAAAAATATAAAAGGAATATTAGAACCAGTAAACACTCACATATCTTGTTTCTCTGTGCTTCACATCATACTCATATATTTATATTGAACACCCTTCTTAAAGCAAAGAAATTTAAAAAAAAGAAAAAAATACGCTATCACACCTATATCATTTATCCCTGTTACATCTCCTCAATTCACCGAAAAATGGGAAAAAAGTAACCCATACCAAATCTCTGACGTCATGCGTTCGCGTACTCACCTGAGCATTCGCTTCCGTTCGCGTATGTTGGCCGCATGGCGCTGCACGCGGTAGGGAGACCCGGATGGATAATATTCCTCCTCTCCCTCTTCGCCTGTGAAGAAAAAAAGAAAAATACGTCATAAAACCGATAAAAAAAATTGAAGAAGCAAAATGTAGTTAGAATCATCAAGGAATGGAACGTTAGGTGGTATTAGTACATTGGTATCATTGTATTGATTGATAATGATGGTATGAGTAGCGGCGTCAATAAGATGATGATTGATTATTGGTGATCGATGAATGATGATAATGATCTTGATAAACCTTTGATAATGATACTGTTATGAACTGATTCCACTAAAAACAAGAAAACGTGTCAGCTTGTCAACCACAGAAATATCCAGCAATATTTGAATAGTTAAAGTAAGGACAAAAAAGTAAAGAGAGCGAGGACGAGGGGAGAGGGAGAGAGGATGAAGGAGGGAAAGGAGAAGGAGAAGAGAGAAGGAAGAGAGAGAGAGAGAGAGAGGAGAGAGAGAGAGAGAGAGAGAGAGAGAGAGGAGAGAGAGAGAAAAGACGAGAGAAGAGAGAGAGAGAGAGACGAGTAGAGAGAGTAGAGAAAAAGAGGAGAGAGACAAAAGACAGAATAGAGACGAGGGAGAGAGAGAGAGAGAGATAAAGAAAGAGATTGAGAACAAAAAAAGAAATGAGGAAGAGGAGATGGGAGAATGAGTAAAGATTAAAGAGACAGAGAATGAATTACAGAAAAAAATTCAATAAACTTTCACTTTTAAGTTTGCTAAGACTATAAGAAATGTTTTTGGACGAAAATTCTGTTCTTAAAGGGTTACCATAATTATGAGAGAAAGACAGAGACGATACGCTCTAAAATCATATATAATATATAATATATATATATATAGATATATACATATATATATATACTATAAATATATATAATATATAATATAGTATAACTATACTATATATATATATATATTTTATATTTATATTTATTATATATATAGAAAAAAATAAAAAGCACATAATATAAAATGTGACATAAGGAAATAGTTATCAAGACAAAACATACTGACGAACAAGAAAAAAAAACAAGGAAAGGTAAAAGAAATGATGAAGAAGAGATATGAACAAGCGAAAAGAAATGGAAAATAAGAAGAGAATAATGAAACAAAAGAAAATAGAAAGAAGATGAGTAAGAAAGACATCAATAACGCAAAGGAAAGGAGAACAAGATAGCCGAAGAAAGAAATAATGAAACAAGGAAGAAAGAATTAATGGAACAGAAAGAAAGAGAAAGGAGAAGAAAACATTGAAAACAGAAAGAGAGAAGGAAGGAAAGAAACATGAAAACAGAAAGAAAACAAAAAAAAAGAAAATATGACACAGAAAAGAGAAGAAAAAGCAAGAAAAATAATGAAACAAGGAAAAATTGAAAGAAAACGAGCAGAAGAATTGAAAAAAAGAGAAAGAAAAGGAAAAGAAGAAACTAACAAACAAGTTAAGGAACAGATATATTTA